CGAGCCACAGGCAACTACCGATTGACGTCCGAGCTTGCGAAGCGATGCAGAGAAGCGATAAAAGAAGACCTTAAGGAGAGAAGAGTAGCAGTGATGGTTGACGCCGCGGAGGCTGGAAGAAGTATACGCAACGCCCGCCGAAGCTTCGTCAACTTCAAGACAAAGATGACCGCACTTCGTCGTCCTGACGGAACCATAACTGCTTCCCGAAGATCAATGGAGAAGGTCATCCACGACTTCTATTCGAATCTTTTTGCGAGCCACGTCCACCTTCCACCATGCCATCTCAAGGAGAACGAGTATGTCGCACCGTCTGTTCTTCCTTCCGAGATTCGTCATGCTATCATGTCGATGAAAAACCGTACAGCACCCGGTCCCGACAGGATTAAGCCAGAACATCTGAAGAATCTTTCGCCAGTTCTCATCAAGACTTTGGCAAGGCTCTTCACGCGGTACCTGACGGAAGGCAAGGTTCCAAGGCAATGGAAGACCAGCAAAACCGTGTTGCTGTACAAGAAGGGAGATCCCTGCGACATCGGCAATTATCGCCCCATCTGCTTGTTGTCTGTAGTCTACAAACTCTTTACGCGAGTCTTTCTCAACAGGATCGGAAAAGAGTTGGACGAAGGACAACCATGCGAGCAAGCTGGGTTTCGAAGAGGATTCAGCACGATCGACCACATACACACGGTGTCAAGGCTCATTGAAGTGTCACGAGAGTATAAGATGCCGCTCTGTCTCACCTTCATCGACTTGAAGAAGGCCTTTGACTCGGTTGAGACTGAAGCCGTCATCGATGCCTTGAGCAATCAAGGTATTCCGACTCATTACATCAAGATAATTCGTGTTTGCTGTAATTGATAATTGCTGTATGACGACTTCACAACCACCATAACACCATTCTACAAGGACATCATCATTGACGTGAAGAGAGGCGTGCGACAAGGCGATACTATATCGCCGAAACTATTCAGTGCCGCTCTGGAGAACGTCATGCGTAAGTTGGAATGGGACAACATGGGAGTGAAAGTCGACGGCCGGCAGCTACACCACCTTCGCTTTGCTGATGACATCGTATTGATAACACCAAGCATCACGCAGGCGGAACAAATGCTGGCCCAGTTTGACGAAGTGTGTGGAAAGATCGGTCTACGGCTGAATCTAACGAAGACGATGTTCATGAGGAACGGAAGAGTGCCTGATGCTCCTTTCATGCTCAACGGGACGAACATCACCGAATGCTCAAGCTACACCTACCTAGGTCGTGAACTCAATATGATGAACGATCTAGCTCCGGAACTGAGCAGGAGGAAACGTGCAGCATGGGGAGCACATAAGACAATTGAGGACGTAGTGAAGAAGAACAAGAACATCCGGCTCCGCGCCCACCTTTTCAACTCGACGTTCTTCATGCTTTGACGTATGCTTCAGAAACATGGACAATGAGAAAGCAGGATGAACACGCGGTTAGCGTCATCGAACGAGCTGTTGAGAGAGTGATGCTAGGAGTGAATCGACTCACGCAAGTGAGGCAAGGATTACGAAGTTCTACCCTACGTCAACGATCGAAGATCAGGGACGCTGCCGCGTACGCCAAGCAGAACAAGATAAGATGGGCCGGGCACGTAATGCGTTTCGACGACAACCGGTGGACGAGAGCTGTAACAGATTGGATACCACTGGACGTCAAACGCGAACGAGGAAGACCGCCGACACGATGGTCAGATATGTTCACGAAGTCCTTTAATGAAGTCCGTCAGAGCGTTCCACGTGTTCCTGGTGCGATACGTAAACATTGGTCAACAATCGCCCGAGACAGGGACGAATGGAGGCATCACTGGTACCCGCTCGTGCAACACGATGATCAACGGGGATACAGGTGATACAGGTGACAGGAGATGTTTCGTGTACTGATGTGCCATCCACCGTTGTTCACCCTCATTAACCTTGCAAGCCACCTTGCATTTCGGTTGTGATAGTTTTCCGACATGACTAATCGAGACTATAACAACCGCGATGGTCGATCGACATGCAATAGACTTGTGACAGTTGTCTTGATGGGAGAATCGCGAGGCGATGAGGTCGCATGAACTCTGCCCGAGGTCTTAGGCCACCCAACTGGCGACTTAGAGATTTGCTATCTTCCAAAATGTATCTTCATCTGGGCCTAGTCAGCTATTTTCCGCCCGTAAGCTCGCTGGCAATCAAAAAGGATGTTAAAAATGATTTTGGAGGATGCAAGATTCTAGACTCGCTTTTTCCAAGCCAATACCGCGTAGGGACCGGTCATACTTCGCCGAAAAAAGCCCAAAAGCGCTCAAAAAAGCCCAAAAAAGCCCGAAAAAGCCCAAAAAGCCCAAAAGCGCCCGAAAAAGCCCAGAAAAGCCCAAAAAAGCCCGAAAGCGTCAGAAAGAGCCGGAATATAGAAACGAACTTTTGGTAGAATCCTGACATTATTTTATCATGCGGACGACAGAAAATGACAAAAAGGCTCGATTGCGAAGTCAAAACACATGCCTTATTGTTAGCGCTAAAACGTGAGAGAAGTGTTCCGGCTCTTTCTGGGGCTTTTGGGCTTTTTTGGGCTTTTTTGGGCTTTTTCGGGCTTTTTTGGGCTTTTTTGGGCTTTTCCGGGCTTCTTTGGGCTTTTTTCGGCGAAGTATGACGGGTCCCGTACACACATCAATCTCTTGTCAAATGGCTATAGCTATAGCCTAGTGGGCCTTAGGTTGTGGCTTGCCTATAGGTTCATATTTATCTCCCTGAAGCCTTGGACAAGCTGGCATCATGTGTTTTGTTCGACGTGTTTGAGTTCTCTATCCTTGTTCTTTGGTTCTCCTTGAGTGTATTCAAAAAAATCTGCTCAAAGGTTTACTGACAAAGTCAGAGGCTTTCCGCTTTCAAATTGCATGGCCAGCTACTATCTAAACGGCTCAAATTCGTATTATGGACCACTCATAAAATCGTGACAATGGCGGCGCTTGCGCGCGTCGCGTACACGTACAAGGTTGGTAATGCATTCGCTTTTTCTCTTTTCAAAACATTCTTGCAGGCCAGTGATAGCTATAGCTATTAGATATTTGTGGTGACTGAGCTTTGCATTGAAGTGATACTTATCGTGTTAAGTGCTATATGGTCTAGTGGAGAAAGACCGCAGTCACATCCTTCTTCACAATTTTATGAGTGTCCTATAAATGCGAATCTGCTCCAAAGTAACATGCCTGACGGCCTGAGACTTATTTATTGCACATAGAATTTTTTTGAAGCTACTTTGCTACCTTACTTCGGCTCTAAGCAACTAGATTCAACGCCATTTGAGCCTAAATAAATGCCTGTAAGTTTGTTCAACAAGAATAATTTTAAATAGAAAAGCATATTCGTTGTTAGCACAAGACTGTCAATTACGGTTCGCATCTTGCTGGGAAAGGCCGCTTAGTCAAATCCTTCCCTTGTATGTGTTCCTCCATCTCCAATAAAGATGCTGTCGCAGCTAACACATTCTTAATGATAAATTACTCCTACTTGTGCACGATCACCTAATGTTGGCATGCGGGCACTAAACCATTCATCCTCTGAGCGTAAATCGAAATAACTAATATCGTTCCCATAGCTGACGAGCACGTTCATTCTTCGCACAAAAAAATCATAACTCGACATGCAGAGGCACTTGGAGATAATGAATTTGGAATCAGTGTCAGGGTCCGGCGCAGACGTATGAAAACGAGCTGGGCTTCGTTTTTGGGGCGAAAGAGCAAGGGGATTCCGTTTTGTGGCCAAACAGACGCAAAAAATTGCGGCTTTTTTAGTGTACGTTTCGTTTTGCATAATCTAGGTAAGACCATTTGAGCAATTCTGACAAATTTCTCTAATTACTCATTTAATTGTTCAGCGCAAAAAACGCTCATAACTCGGCGTCCAGAGGCGCTTGGCAGATAAGGTTTTCATATGGAAAGGCCACTTCGACCAACGGAACCTTTTGTTGAATGCGACCCAGATACGACCCCCCCCCCCCTATTTTCATTTGCCATACATAAAATTATAAAAAGATTTCTATGAAATATTACCAGATTTTGTACAAGTGTAGCAGAGCATCTCCAAAATACATATAAACTGTACGGACCCGTGAGAAAGATCACAGAAAGATTTACAAACTATTGATGGTCATCGTTGGTAGAGATACTTGCTTTTATCGAGTTTGTGAGACTTCGCTGAAGCTTTGGAAGCGGGACCTTTAGAGCCCATTGATACATACAAAACATATACGTGCATCTAACAGTGTTTGAGCTTCTAAAAGGGTTTTTTTGGAATTTTTCAATCATACCTGAGGCGAGCAGTCTCGATTGCCGTCTGCGGCTCTATCTCTGCAGGGTAAAAAATGCTAGTTTTGAAGAATGAAGAATGACTGAAAAACCTATTTCCTACTTTACAAATTTTCCTGCGAATAGAAGTTCATCGCCTTCCCGAGCTCTTTTACAAAAAATGTTTCTTGCTCTTCGTCATTATACATTGATATACAGCATCCTATTGCTACTCCATTTTCCTCTGTTTTTATCCCAACTCACCCATATTGTGCCTCCTCCCCCACCGTAGGTGCCCCTTTTACGACCTCCCTTTACGACAGTAGCACCACACGCTTGGTCCTCACAAACGAACTTGATGGTGCATAGATATCACCACAAGTGTCGTGTGAGTCCAGCGTCCTCCGTGACGGAAGTAGGCTTAGAGAAAGAGGTTATTTTTGCCACAAACATTAGCTAGTAACAGGTCCGACTTTCTGTCAATTCCGCTTTTATTTGCATTTGACTGACCGCGTAGCCCTGTCATCAACTTCGACATCCACAATGTTTTAAGCAAGGAACAGCAGGAGCCGCACAAATGTAAACAAACAAGCACCTTCAGAGAGGTGATATAAGCGAGGCTTAGGACGGTGTACCTTCCATAGACGTATATCCCTCTAGATTCTCGTGCAGGCCAAAATTTCTGAAAAGTTGCTGTCTAGAATGTTGCTCGGCGGAACTTTGTTAATGCTCATATGCTCGGAAGCTGCAGCTTTCTATAAACCCAGCCTGCCCTGGAAGCCGATCAAGAACAAATCTATTGGTACAAATGCACCTATGCCTTCTAGCACTCATAGAGGTTCGCGACCGTTGCTCATCTTTAGCCTCCCATTTTTCTGCCTTTAATGGCTCCTTCACAATATCGTGAGTATTTGCAGGAACAATCGACTGGTGTTCATACTGGAGAGCGCATGGCGTTGAAAGATGTATCGCTCAAAGTCGAAGATGGCGACGACCAGCAAGACCTTTAGGTAGCTCATATTTGTTCTATTTGAAAAATTCCTGTGAGGTGATGAGCCAGAGCCAAAAAATAATTTCTGGTCTTTTCGAAGTCATTACTTTTGGTCCGCCCTTTGAAATTTTATCCCCAATGCATTAGGTTGGAGCACAAGTTTTGCACAAAATATTTCACCTTTTAGAATGCTCGAAAACCGTATTGATCTGTATAATCTATAAGATCCAGTTTTTTCTATGTAGTCATTGTATGTAGTATCTCACCTCAAATACTGAAAATCTTAACTTGGACGATATAAACATTTAAAGTGATTAAACTATAATTATTTTGTAGAGACGTTCAGTGGGCGCGCCTTTATTCGAGAAAGTAGCTCATAGAGCATGAATCAAAAATATTTATGCTAACCAATTTCCAGAATAACATTTGAGGGTTTAATAAACATGTTTTTCTGCAGCGATATTGAAACAATAATTGTACATTACGAGAACTTGCGTTTTCTCCACTAAATCACAACAACTTAACGATTTAATGAACTAGAAAAGATGGCTATCAACAAGTTTCTTGCAAGAGTTCTAATCCAGCCTCATATCAGTGTCTTTTGTTGCAGTGATGAGCAGCGGAACGGATGTGAAATTGAAGCAATTTAATCTAAACATTCTTTGTCTCAATAATGCATTCTTGTGCCTTCACTAGGATATAAGAGAAACAATCAGCATTTTAATTGAGACGCTCTTATGATTATTTGATAATAAATGAATAAGACTCACACAGATGCCTATAAGCTCAGTGACAACTCTCTACTAAAGGATCTCCCCACATGTCAGGCAAGGTTTCTTCTATCTACTTGTGTTTCCAGCGATATATGCGGCACCGGAAAGGTACAAGATCTTACCTCTTACGTCTGTTTATCAGCATATATAGTTTTAGTTATGTATGGATACTACTAGAGTCCTTTGCTGCCAACCTCCACTAAACGAATGCTCTACAAAGGCTCAGCTTGGATTCAAGTGTGTGGTAAGTTAGCGTTTTTGACTGATTTTTTACTATTACTTACTTAATGTTGCCCTGTAAAACTTCTAGAACCTAGAACAAGGGAGGGGCTGAAAAGAAAACATTGAAAAACCTCAGCGTGAGGTGGGCACATGAAAGATACTAGTACTCCTCCATGCTATCAATTTCTCTTGACTAAACAATGAGATTTTTTCAAACAACACGATTCTAACAATTTCAAAGCTCTGCTCTTCTGCTGGCGTTCTTTGACTCAAAGGGTTCAAATTTAGGCAAAATCACCCGTCAGCTGGTGCTCGACTAACGATGACTGCGGTGGAAGAACGTGCTGTCCGACGGGTTGTGATTATAATATCTGTGTTTAGAGTAGTGTAACTGTGCTCATATGTATAATATTTTGTTTGTACAGAATATGACCTCAAGTAAATCTATTTATCTGGCACCATGGGAAAAAGCTGAGAAATAGAATGAAAGCAAGCTTCAAATTACGGTAATATCTGTTTGCTACGAAAAGTTGGCCTGAAATAAGTATAACTCATACAAGTGATTTGTAGAAGAAAACGAACACATTATAGTCGAGAAACGTAAGTAAAAACACTCTTCCAAATTTTAGCGCGAGGTCTTTGCCATCACCGGCATATACGAAGAAGTTTATACACAAAGCTCTCTATTTCGGGTGAAAATGGAAGGAAACTAGTGTGACCCGTCGAAAGAAAAAGTTTGCCTTTTCAGATCTTTCACTATTACTCAAAAAGCTGTCAATCGCGTTCGATGGCTACTTTCGAATGTGTTATTTTTGAACGAAAATTGTGCACATTCACTTCCTTTACCGACAGTAAGCTTCTGCGCACTAGGATTCATGTGGTAGAAGAAGAATTATCATAGAATTAAACACGGATCCTCTGTTTGCGAATGTAATAAATGATACATTTATCGTGCGGCTTTCAATGAAGCTGCGGAGAGAGAAAATTTTTTTAAGTCTGTGTAAAATGCAGAAAAGCAAATACACAAAGTTGCAGCCATTATATATTATAGAACTATGGCTTTTGGTTTTGAAAAAAAAAACCTGTTTCATTTATCCCTTGTTCATTTTGTATGGGCTCAAAAATTTTACAGGAGGAAGTTTGATCAATACATTTTCTCTGCAGCAAAATGCTATCATAATTCTGGCGCTATCTACGTTTGATAATTTTCCTTCCAAATGATAATGAAAGCACAAAAGCGCCATCAAAATCTGATATTATTATAAGAACGAGTCGGACAGCTGATTGTGGCTGCTTTGTTTCGGCAATATAAACAAAGTGTAATATTAGGTCGTCCTGAAAGTTCTTTCGTACCAAATTTAAAAATTCATAACTGATTTTTTCAATCTATTTGACTGCTTTCATTTTTGTATGAAAGAGTAGGTCATGCTCTTTATAATGACTTCTTAGCTGTGTCGGGACGCAGCTAAGCTCCGCCTGCTGCTCTCCCGTGAGCTGGCCGACAAGGTCAGATAGAAGCCAGTGACCCCCTACGACCGCGCCCCGTGAGGCTGCCTAGTCAGTCTTCCCCCTTCCCCTTTCTTGTAATATATGTAGATAATAAATATATATAATACCAACCTGTACCGCTACACATCAAGCTAGGGCCCGTACACCCCTAGACTTGACATGGAGGTCCCAGGGAAGATTTCTTATTCTTTAGAATTCTAGAATTATTTTTTTTCTCTTCTCAACTTTTGATATGGGTTTCAAAAAAACTTACCCCCCCCCCTCCCTCCTCCTTCTACAATCCGATCGATCGCTATGGACGTCACCAACGAACAATTGTGTGTGAGTGTTTTTTTTATGTTGCACAAATATATTAGCTGTGTGAGTGAAATATCTAATCTTCGTGTGAGTCAAATATTTAACCTTTTCAGAAAGAAAAAAATTATTAAATAAAATAAAATAAAAATTATTTATACAGTCCTGCGAACAGTCCCATTTTGTCAATTTCTTTCTTTCGTAAAGCGCTCGCATTTTCCGTGATCCGTGATTCCGTGAATCCGTGAATTTAAAAAGCGCATTTAGCAGCCGTGATCCGTGATGCCGTGATCCGTGATCCGTGAATCCGTGATCCGTGATCCGTGAATCCGTGAAACCGTGATTCCGTGAATTTTTTGTTAACTTTCTTATTTTTTTAATATAATTAGACAATGGACTTGTTCGCAATCGCTAGCTTAAAAAACTGCAGTATTAGACCCAGAAAGATAAATCTGCTGGCCCACTGCAGATAACTTCTGCTGGGAAGTGTCGACCAATCGTAATGCTTCGACCTCTCAGGAAATATAGCAAAACCCAGTGCTACTGTCCGCGCGCGGTGACCCCCTTTTGGCTAAAAAGCAACGCGGCGGCCCTCGTAAGTTGTAAGCATGTGACCCGCGACAAAAATTTTTCGTGACAAATTAATATTTTTTGAGCGCTATGACCTTACAGCCACGACTAGTGCAAATGCTCGCGTCTGTTGTGTCGCGATAAACCTTGGAACAGGATTAATAATTGCGTAACCTAACCTCTTACGAACGGCCATCAACAACAGTTGCACGATATGACCCCTTAGCGTCTGTTCTTATGCAACTTATACGGCCAACAATAACAGTCGTGCCCGATAAGCCGCTGCCGTACGTCTTACGCAACTTATATTATCGTAACATCTACTTTCCGCTGTCGAATAACAGAACATGCAAAGTTCATACTTTTTCAAACATTTAGGGATAATAATAGGTACCGTTTAGCAAGAATGGTACACGCCTGAACGCCAAAAAAAAATCGACAGCTTCAGTAATGTTCCGCGCCTCACAGATAACAATAGTACTCAAATCATTCTTAGTGCAGGATCGTACTTTTGAAGATTTACCGCGTTTTGCTACAATTTCCCATCCATTGAACAAACTTCGCATAAACAATGCAGTTTTTTTTTGGAGCAAGGAGTAAGAAATAGCATTCCAAGCATTAAAACATGCCCTAGTGGATGCGCTTGTTTTAGTGCTTCCTATTCTAGGAAAACCTTATATCATCCACACCGATGCATCAACCATCGGTCTCGGCGCGTGCCTCTTACAAGTCAATCCGGAGACTAGTAGTGAACATTTGATCGCACAATACAGCCGCCGTCTGACAAGACACGAGAGGAACTGCACAGCTAACGTTAGATTTGCTATACGTTGCTTCTGCAATAGTTCCGTGTTGATAACTGACCATACACCGCAAAAAAAAAATCACCCATGCGTAGGTCAGATCTCGTGTGTCGCCGTGCTAAACAAAAGCAAAAATTATTTGTCTCTTTTAAGTTAATCATGTCGGTTCTTATAGCCTCTACTATGAGGAACAGTCGGCGTGCCTCAAAAGTCTGATGACAATTATTGCTGTTTAAGGCGAAAAAAATTACAGTAGTATGTCCACCGAATCTGAAGTAGTCAAACAAACGCGCTTCCGTATTGCACTCAAGAAATTTGTTTTAAAAAACGAAAATATAATGAGAATCTTTACCAACTGCTGAGCATAGCATATAGCTGTTGAAAAAAACGATTTTTGAAAAAAAAGGAACAATTACCACTTTGCATTTATTGGCCCCAAATCCAAGATTTCTGTGCAAATCAAGTCGATATTCGCAAGATGCGTAACTTCTAGACCCAACTTATAACTCACATTTTTTTGACAAAGCTAATTTTTGGGAAAAAAATTTAAGCAAAATTGACTGTATTTTTCAGTATGTCGTCCGAACGTCTTTTGAGCAGTGTTTAGAAAAAATTTATATTGCAAAAGAAAAAAAATCCGTAACTAATTTTTGGTTGTCTGACACTACAGTGCTGGCCAAAACTATAGATCCACTATAAAAAACTGCCGTAGTTCATCTGCTTCTCAACGAATTGATCTGAGATTTGGTACAGTTGTGTGTTCAACAGGCTTTCATCAGTGACCGGAGCGGATTCCGTTTTCACCAGATTATTCAGGAAAAAAATTAAAAATTTCGAAAAAAGCAGGCTCGAAAGTTGGCCAAAACTATAGATCCACCTAAAATTTCTGCCTGCTAACGTGATTCTTAGCTTCCAAAATCTTTTGTGCATAAACCTAGTCGAAAGTCAAAGCAGTGGGTTTAGTTCAGCTGCGTCATACCTTTATAAGAAACGCTTATCTGCTTTTTTCCTCTTAAAAACTGCTTTCATGCGTATTTTGTTCCCGAGAATGTGTTTTTGTAGAGGATTCCGCACTTTTTTGACTGGTTTGAAAGTGATAGGGCTCCATCTATCTTATAGATGCTTAGTAGCGTGAGCAGCAGAAAAAAATTCGGGTTTTCGTATCTAAAGCGCACCTGACATAGACCTAACCGCAGGCCTGCGTTCAAATTTATGCCTTCAAGCTCTTTCTGCAACGTTGTCATGAGCGTGAACTGGAGTAGATACATTGTTGGTATGTATGAGAGTCCGTATGCAGTGATTGCAGGTTTTTGCAGATCCTAGTATGCAGGTTAATTGAGGACTTCATCCTGCAAAAAGTGATTTGCAACAAGCCTTGAAGTTATTTCTGCTTCTGACCATAATGCTCATGTGAATCACAAGGCAACATATATTGCAGGGTGTATTCAATAGTTAGCAGCTAAAAAGTGGCAAAATTCAAAGAAGGTACCAGTTGGTAAGTACTTTGAGATTGCCGAACACACCGCAAGACTTATGCTTTGAAAAAGAATTAAAGTGCGACTTCGCAAGCAATCGTAACTATAGTTTACAAACTTCTTTTTAGGTGAATAATGCTAAATAATGCTTCTACATTATTTTGAGCTTATAAAAATAGCGGATACCAATTTTGAAGGCAAAAATTCGAGCGCAGGCCTACGGTTATGTCTGTGTCAGGTGCGCTTTGGATACGAAAACCCGAATTTTTTTTACTGCTCACGCTGCTAAGCATCTATAAGATAGATGGAGCCCTATCACTTTCAAACCAGTCAAAAAAGTGCGGAATCCTCATAAAAACACATTCTCGGGAACAAAATACGCATGAGAGCAGTTTTTGAGTGGAAAAAAGCAGATAAGCGTTTCTTATAAAGGTATAACGCAGCTGAACTAAACCCACTGCTTTGACTTTCGACTAGGTTTATGCACAAAAGATTTTGGAAGCTAAGAATCACGTTAGCAGGCAGAAATTTTGGGTGGATCTATAGTTTTGGCCAACTTTCGAGCCTGCTTTTTTCGAAATTTTTAATTTTTTTCCTGAATAATCTAACGAAAGCTGAATCCGCTCCGGTCACTGATGAATGCCTGTTGAACACACAACTGTACCAAATCTCAGATCAATTCGTTGAGAAGCAGACGAACTACGACAGTTTTTTATAGTGGATCTATAGT